AGAGGGAGAAGGAATATCTCAAGCAGACTCTGCACTGAGTGGGGAGCCTGACTCAGGACTCGATCCCATGATCCTGGGATCATAACCTGAGCTGAAATCAAGAGGGGGACATTTAATCAACTGAGCCACCCAGGTGCCCTGACCTAAAATTAAAAAATATTTTAGTTCATGAAATCTATTTTTTAAAAATCTTATTTATTTATTTATTTGACAGAGATCACAAGTAGTCAGAGAGGCAGGCGGAGACAGAGAGGGGAAGCAGGCTTCCCGCTGAGCAGAGAGCCCCATGTGGGACTTGATCCCAGGACCCTAAGATCATGACCTGAGCTGAAGGCAGAGGCTTTAACCCACTGAGCCACCCAGGCGCCCCTCATGAAGTCTATTTTAAAGAGCAAACAAGATGCTTATTACTGCTAAAATATTAATATTATCAAGAACAGTTGTTGTTGTTTTTTTTTTAGTCTATGGAACTCCTATGGCTTGATGGGAAAAACTTTATAGAGATCCAAATAATTTAAAATCAAGAATCTCTAAGCTCATTAAATTATTGGAAAAAATTTATTTGACAAAGGATTTTCCCTTTTTCCTAAGAAAGATTATCCAAAAATGTATCAAAAATTATATAAAATTATAAGATACATAAAATATGTTATATAGAATTATATATAAGATATATAAAATATATCTTTAAAGTTGCTGTTGAATATAAGTATACTGATGATAGGAGTAGACATCTGAAAGTTCTGAAAATGTAGTTTGATGTTCATTGGAATTTGAATCTCAGGTATGAAAGAATATAGTGTTAAATAAACCTGGACTAGATCAGTACTGATTCATGTTCCAGATTTTCAATGATGTCACACCGTGGCTTTTCACTGCCAATAAGGGATGCCTTAAAGTTCTTTCCACACATAAAATGCCATGATATGTCTCCAAATACATTTGACATTGACTGAAGGAATATAATAGGTAATTACCCACAGCAACCCACATGAAACACCTTTAATAATGCCTTTCTTTTAGAAATTCTCACTTGCATGTTGTGAAATTATATGTGTGTGTGTATATATATATGTATATGAGTGTGTATATATATGTATATGTGTGTATATATATATATATATGAGCTCTTCATGGTAGGGAAACAATTGTATTTACACATACAAAATGTTAAAGGTAATGCCAAATCTAGATGGTCTGGGATAACAGAGATTACTTGCTGTATTTGAAGCTTAATTAAAAAGCTGTAATTTATTTCAGCAATAATTTCTTTCTTGGCTGTATGAACCATATATCTGGTAAAGTATAAAAAGGAACTGCATGTTTTATTAATCAAGATGGCTGGAAAACAGAATAGTGTACATGGTAGTTTCCACTTGAAGGAAAGTCAAATGGAAAGAAATATGATTCTTTTAGTATCTAAAACCATAAATTTTTGAGTAGGAAGCAGTATTTCAGATTGTATATTCAGTACTTCCAACATATGAAAAATTCTTATGCCTTATGCCTTATTCATAATAGAATATGTGGTGTAGATTGTGATTGTCTTTGTGGGTTTTTCATATTCATCTTTATTTTATCCTGAACACACACATGAGATTTTTGGATCAGAGACAGATTATTATTACTTACATAATAATAATTGTGCTGGTTCCTCTTGCTTCAGTTCCTATCTCTGGAGAGATGTGATGAGAACCCTACATGCAACAGGGTCTGTACTGTAAGTGAGAAAATGAGTCTAGGCTTTTTTGTAGGAAATAAAGCTGTCCTCCCCTTCTAAAAGTAGGGAGAAAAAAATACTTGGCTCCTTGAAGACAAGATGTAAAGAATCCTTGTTCTCTCTCTAACTCTTTTGTAATGTAAATAAATCTCTCTGGAGCCAGAGAAGCCCATATTTCCAGCTTTATAACTTAGAGATATCTCCAGAGTCCCAGGCCTCACACCAAATCGAAATGAAAACACACATCTGCGAAGTTCAGTTTATCTTTTGAGCTCTAATTATTTATGCAGTTCTAAATTATCTCTGTAGCTTGCTTTTAGTCCAAGATCTCAAGGTTCCATGGAACTTGCTGAGGAAGCCCTAACTGGGCAGAAACACAAAAATACTTTCTCAACACCTCACAGTGTTCCAAAACTAATTCTTTTTTCTGCCTGGGCAACACGGCTGCCCAGCTAAAAATCACATTTCCCCAATTGCTTTCAGATAGATGTGGCCTTGGGGTAAATTCTTTCAGTTATCCTCTAGCTGCGAATGTATTGATTTCACCTTTATTCCCAAAGGATATTTTCACTGGGTAAATAATTCTAGGTTCACATTTATTTCAGTTCTTGACAAATGGTTATTTCCTTCTGGCCTCCATGGTTTCTTTTTTCCTTTTCCTTTTCCCTTTCCTTTTTTTTTTTTTTTAAAGATTTAAAAAAAAAATTACGTATTTGAGAGAGAGTGCATGAGCAAGGTGAGGGGCCGGGTGAGGAGCAGACTGCCTGCTGAGCAGGGAGCCCAGGGTGGGGCTCAGTCCCTCGACTCCAGGATCTGGACCAGAGCTGAAGACAGATGATTAACTGACTAACCATCTGAGCCCCCAGGTGCCCCTGTCCTCCATGGTTTCTGATGAGAAATTCTCTGCCATTTGGATATTTGTTCCCTTATGTCTAGTGAGTTTTTTCTACTTTCAAGACTTTTACTTTACCTTTAGGCTTCAGACTTTTTTTTTTTTTTTAAGATTTTATTTATTTGACAGAGAAAGTACAACCAGGGGGAGTGGAAGGCAGAGGGAGAGGCAGAAGCAGCTGGCTCCCCACTGAGCAGGGAGCCCAATGTGGGGCTCAGTCCCAGGGCCCTGAGATCATGATCTGAGCCAAAGGCAGCCACTTAACCAACTGAGCCACCCAGGTGCCCCAGGTTTCAGAAATTTCATGAGTGTCTCAAACTTATTTGAGTTTATATATCTGGAGTTCACTCAATTTCTTGAATCTGTATCTTTATGCCTTTCACTAAATTTGGAGAATTTTCAGTCTTATGCTCATTGACTACTTTTTCAGGCTACATTCTACCCCTTTTGGGGGATATCTCCAATGACACCAATGTTAGATCTTCTGTTACTGTTCTATAGGTTCTTGAGAATCTTTTTTCCTCAGCCTGTTTTCTCTATTGTTCAGAGTGGGTAATATCTATTGTTTTATCCTCAATTTCATGAAATTTTTCCTGACATCAACATTCTACTTTTGAGCACACCGAGTAGATTTATTATGCAACAATTTCTATTTGTTTCTTCTTTATATTTTCTATTTATTTGCTGAGACTATTTATTCATTTGTTTCAAATGTGTTTGTAATTGCTCAGTGACATATTTTTTATAACAACAGCTTTAAAATCCTTATCTGATAATTCTAACATCTATGTCATCCCATTGTTGACATCTGTTGTCTTTTCTCATTCAAGAGAAAAGTTCTTGGTATGATATATGATTTTTCTATGTATCCTGGATATTTTAGCATAATGTTATGAGACCCTGGATCTTATTAACTCTTTTGTTTTTGCAGGCCTCCTCTGATGCTGTGCCAGTAGGAGAAGGGTATAAAAATCTAGGTGGCTTGTAAGTCTTCCAAGTCATTACAATCCACTGGAGAAGGGGGTCAAGGAGGATCACCTTGTTACCATCAGGTGGGAGTGGGACTTCGGAGCCCCCACTCTGCTTCTTCTGTACCATTCCAAAAGATAGGGGGAGGAGTGCCTCATTACCACCAGGCAAAGGTGAAAATCTAGGCTTGGCACTCAGTGTTTGCTGGTGGGGGTGAGGGTGGAGGCGTGGCATTTCCCATGCAGTTTGGCTAGAGTTGTCCTGTTCCTGTCCATCTCTTTCCTCATTTGTTGCCAAGGGAGAGCAAGGGAGGGGAACAAATTTTTTTTTTTTTTTTTGGTCTAAGTGCATTGGCATTTCTGGTTTGTGGGCTCCTCGAACATTCCATCTAGGTACATGAGACAAAAAGAAAACCCGGGGAGGGGTGCCTGGATGGCTCAGTCGTTGGGTGTCTGCATTTGGCTTGGGTCATAATCTCAGGGTCCTGGGATCGAGCCCTGCATCCAACTCCCTGCTCAGCAGGATACCTGCTTGTCCCTCTCCTTCTTCCACTCCCCCTGCTTGTATTCCATTTTTCGCTGTCTCTTTGTCAAAAGGGGGGAGGGAAGAAAACCCAAGGAATTCAACACCATGCTCTTCCTTAAGTCTCAGGCTCTCTGGATAGTCTATCTCATTCTCTCTATCAGGGTCTTTGTATACTCATTTTATATATAAGGTCCGGGGTCTTGATCATACCTAATGGGAGGAATAAGAAGAAATGCATCTGCCATATTTTTTCTGGAATCAGGAGTCCAGTTCTTAATGGAAGATACACTGCTCTTTCCCGTGGGTAGCTCTACTGCCCCCACCTGGAGGAAAGGGAGGAATTTTGCCAACACAGAGCAAAATCTATTTACCTCTATTCTTCTAAACCTGCAGAAGTATCCTTCCCCAAGGGCCTCTGCTGCTTGATATGCCCACTGTTCACTAGAGGAGCAAGGGAGGAGTATTATGAAAAGTAGTGTTAAGGAATGAGGAAGAGAAAACCTGTTCCGCGGTCATTTATCAGAATTTTCTTTCTTTCTTTTTTTTTTTTTACTTCTTTACATCACTACTTCCCACACTTCAGTAGGTAATAGGAAAAGGAGGGGCATCTGGGTGGCTCAGTCATCAAGCCTCTGGCTTCAACTTAGGTCATGATCCCAGGGTCCTCTGAACGATCCCTGATCCTGCTCAGTGAGAAGCCGCTTCTCCCTCTCCCTCTGCCTCTGCCCCCGCTGGTGCTCTCTCTCCCAAATAAATAAATAAAATCTTACCAAAAAAAAAAAAAAAAGGGGGGGGAAAGAAACATGCGTTTAAAACATGAGCTTTAAAGGTTCGCAATTAATGTGTTATATACTTTTTCTTCCCAGAATCCCCCTTATGCAGTAAATGATTGAAGAAAAAAAAAACAACTTTTCATTGTTCATTCTAGTTTTTACTTAGATCTTTATTAATTGGACCTGTAACTTCTCCCTCTTGGTTACAGTGTCATAGGATCTCTAATAACTACCAAAAGAAGGAAATTGTATGACAGGTTCTGAAGTGGATATTGACACTAATGGTCATGAAACACCAAACTTACATAACTACTGACGTAATGAATAATGTTAAGCGTTAATCTTCTTGCTCTGTAGCTCCCTCTTGGTTGAACCAATAGCTCTGTCATAGGTTTCATGATTGAGTATGCCTGGAGTTGAGGTATTAAGTTTTTGAAGACTTCCCTTTTCTTCTACCTTTCGTATTTTCTAAGATAGGCTGCTGGTTGGTCTCTTTTTTTCCACAAGAGATCCTCTTGCAATATGAGTATTGAGGTGGTTGTTAAGTGCTTTCTTACTAGAAGCATCCAGGCCTCTGTAGAATTTATCTTTTTTCAGCAATGTACCCTCTCTTTCTTGCATTTTTGGCTTATGCTCTACTGATAGTGTCTGGTTTTTCTTGTCCTGTTCAGAGTTTATCTGAATTGGCTTCTCTTGCAGAGTTCCCTCTTGCTGATCATGCAGTTCCTTGAGAAACTCTATTCTCTGCTGCAAGATCTGACATTCATTTTCCAGCAAAGCTGCAATCAAATGCAATGAATACGTGTCATGTTCCAGTTTCTTCACTTGTTCCTCCAGGTCATGCTTAGCTGACATGTCGTGATTTGGTTGAGTTTGGAAATGCACTCCATTATCTCTAAGAGTTTCTTGTATATCTTTCTGAGATTTCTGATAGGATCTTATCAGTTCACTGAGCTCAGTGTGTTGCATATTCCAGTGTTCTGCTTCCTGCAGTAACTGCTCCATGTTGTTCCTAAGTTTGATGTTTTCTTCTTGAACAGGAGGGAATCTGTATGTTGCTTTTTCCTCACTTAGTCGAGTTTCCTTAAGGGCTCTATTTTCTTCTGGACAATTTACCAAATCCCTTCTAAAAACTGGTACCGTGTCGCTGCAGTTCTGATGTCCCAGGGTCATTTCTTCGTTTTTGGTGTTCTGTTCTTTCTCTAGGTCTGAACTACCAAGCAGGTTGTTCAATAATACTTTGTTTACCTTCTCAAGTTCTCTGATTTGTTCTTTCAGTTCTGATACATTCTCAGAAATACTGGTTTCCTCAGATGAATCTTTTGCTTCTGTGATCTCTTCACAACTTGTCACATTTTTAATTAGCTCTTTAATTTCTTTTAAGAGATTTTCAAATTTCTGTGTAGTCTGTTGTTGAGCTGCTTGACGGCCACTATTGTTTAGGGAAGGGAAAGAACCCCAGGAGACAAAGGAAGGTGATTCAATCTCAAATAAGGCAAAGATAATCTTAGAGTTCGAAGACTCTTGATTGAGATCAGGAGTAGGCTTAAAAGTTTTGGAGAGGGTGGATGCATCCATCTCAGCTGAGTTAGCAGGACTGGTGATTAGAGCATGTGGCAAGCAGAAACACCTCAGAGATTCCAGGAAGAGAAGGTGGTGGTCCTCCGTGCAAATGGGTAGAGAATGCGGAACTAAGCAGAAGTCAGAGACCACAGTTAAGGTCTGAAACCAAGGAGATGATGTTTAAGTAGAAGGTGACATCTCAGATGACCTAGAGGATTGGGGGTGGTGAGAAAGGGGACCAGGAGCTAGGACTCCATCTCTCCTTCTCCAAGCTTCTGGTGTTTATTCCTGACCCTAGCAACCAGGTCTTTGTTCTGTCACTGAACTCTTGTAGCCTATCTCCAAGCTTCTGTTTCTTTTTGTCACAATGGAAGCCTCTTAAACCCCTGCCCAGTGACCCATGAATCAAAACCAACATTGACCGACTTCTACTCTTCACCCCAGAAAGATCTTTATGCCAGTCCTTTCCCTCCCTACTTTTCTAGGTTTTTATTTAACTCATTTTAACTGTATTTGATGACTTCCCTACATCTCCACTACTTACAACCCCAAACTTAACGGCAGTATGTTCTTTCTACCACCAAAGTGCATGGTGTGAGTAATCCTCCCTGGACTTCCCATAGCAGCTGAAACCTTATTGCTCCCATTCTAGAAGACATGTTGCCATAAAAGAAAGTTGTCCTTACAAAATAGAACCCAAAAAGAGCTTCATGTTTTTGTGAGTTTAGAGAAATAATGTCAAATCACTCCATTCAAAAGTATTTCAGTGCAGTAAAAAGAGAATATCTGAATGCTTCCTTAACACAATTTCAAAGTGGGACTTTTCTTGGCTTCAATAGAGGCATCTTTAAAGACAGGCTTATAATCTTGCTCCTGACTCATTTACAGGTGTATAAAATTTTAATCATTATTTTTCACAAGAATTTGCCAAAGGTAGCATCATTTATCTAAAGCATCTGAAACAACTAAATCCTATAGTGGGCTATGTCTTTTTTGCCCTAGGAGTCAGGACCTTGAGAATATTAAATTCAAAGAAAACATTCCTTAAGTGAGACTTTTTCTTGGCCTTCAAAATCTTGCTAGCAAGCACTTCACTAACTACAAGATTGCTTCCAATCTTAAGGGAAAACTCATACTCTAGTAGGTTTTTTGAGGGGGGGGGGTGTTGCCTTAAAGAAAAGAAATGTATGCTTTTTTTCTTTCATTGCTACCGACTCACTCTGTCTTAAATTTCCCTGAGCTTCATGCTCATCTTCCAGCCAGCTGGGCTCAGAGCCATGGAGAGAGTCGTGCTGGTCTTTCTCTTCTCCTTGAACTAGGAGCACATTTTCTAATTCATGCATTGATACCATAGAGACTGGCAATTGCCTTTATGCTTTCATTCTATGTCTTAAGTTCCAACTTTTGTTGCTATTTCCCCTTTGATACAAACCATCCTTTAAGATAATGCTTTAACCTTCAAAACAAGGGAAGGGGGCTCCTGGCTGGCTCAGCGGGTTAAAGCCTCTGCCTTGGCTCAGGTCATAATCCCAGGGATCCCAGGGCCCTGGGATTGAGCTCCGCATCAGACTCTCTGCTCAGTAGGGAGCCTGCTTCCTCCTCTCTCTCTGCCTTCCTCTCTGCCTACTTGTGATCTCTGTCAAATAAATAAATAAAATCTTAAAAAAAAAAACAAAACAAGGGAAGGGCTATTTTTTCCCCCCTGATTTGGTAATTAATTTCCAGCTTTATTGCATTGTAATCAGAAAAAGTATTTCTACCTTTTGAAATTGATCTTTTCTCTTTAACTTAATTATCAGTGTTCATTTGTGTTTCATGGCTACTTGAAAATTAATGTATTTTTTATTATTGTGCTTATGGCTTTTGATGCTTTTGGACATAAATCTAATACTACCTTAACTTTTAATTTTTATGGAAACTGGTTTAAAGATGGCTTGCTCAAGAGACCGACATAATTTTTTTCCTTCAAAAGAGGATTTAAATATTTCCTTCCTCCTTACAAGTTAAATGAATTTCAAATAATGTTTCTAATAATTTTATTGAAATTTGAGTTTACTGTAGATCCCGAGAGATATCTGGAGTGGGATGCCTGGGTGGCTCAGTCAGTTAGGTGTCTGCCTTTGGCTCAGGTCATGATCCCATGGTCCTGGGATTGAGCCCCCTCCTTTGGCTCCTTGATCAGTAGGGAGACTTCTCCCTCTCCCTCTGTCCTCAGCTTGTGCTCTCTCTCACCCTTCCTGCTTCTCTGACAAATAAATAAATAAAACCTTAGAAAAAAAGATACCTGGGGAAGTTTCTTCTTTCTTTTTTTTTATTGACCAATATTCTCAGTGGGTAACTATGAATATTAAACAGATTTAGATTATCCTACAATTTTTGTCCACTAAGTTTCCAATAGCTTAATGACTTATAAAAAAGAAATGCTGCAATGACTCAGAGAAAGACAAACACCACATGATTTCACTTACGTGTGGAATTTAAGAAACAAAACAAACGAGCAAGGGGGAAAAAATAAGAGAGAGAGAGAGAGAGAAGCCAAGAAACAGACTCTTAACTACAGAGAACAAATTATTGTCAGAGGGGGAGGTGAGTGGGGGCATGGGTGAAACAGGTGATGGGGATTAGAGAGTACACTTGCTGTGATGAGCACTGGGTGTTGTATGGAAGTATTGAATTATCATAACATACACCTGAAGCTAATATTACATGTATGTTAACTCTACTGGAATTAAAGTAAAACATTTTTTAAAATGCAAAAAGCTGTTCCTAAAATATTAGAAGAAAACTTGTATAGAATTTTCTCTCTCTTTAAAACCAGTTTGCCTTCGGGCAGCTTGGTGGTTCAGTTGGGTAAGCGTCTGCCTTCAGCTCACAGGATCCCGGGACTAAGCTGTGCGGCTGGCTCCCTGCTCTGCTGGGAGACTGCTTCTCCCTCTACCTCTCTCTCTCTCATGAATAAATGAATAAAATCTTTTAAAAAAAATGGTTACAATTATCAATAAAAAATAAAATAAAATCAGTTTGTCTTAACAAAAGCATAACTCATATCTCCATATGCATGCTGTCAATAGGTCTTACTCCTGGCAATGTTAACCTTGGTCACTTCATTAAGTGGTATCTGCTGGATTTATCTACCATAAAGTTACTCTTTCCCTTTGTAATTAACAAATATCACAGAGAGATTTTTTGACCCTATGAAAGTGTTCTGTTTCTTCTAAAACTTTTGCCCGTACAACATAATTTTAGTGTGCAGGGGTGGATTTTTTTCCTGTGACAATTATTACAGTGGTGATCTATTTAATGGTGATTTTCTATTTCTGTCATTCCTTTCATATGTGTTGATTGGAATTATTTTGTAAAGAAGAGCTGTCTCTTTTCCTGTATTTACTTATTCATTCATTCATTCAAATACGTATTTATATACTTATGGACTCATAGATATTTATTTTATTTGGGGGCTTACAATTGAATACTATAATTTATTTTCTTGCTCAAATACATAAGAATAATTTTAATTTGATGAAAAATTTGTGGTATAATAAAATATATTTTTATTTTGCCTAATTGTTCTAGTTGTTCAGTAGTTGCATTTTGTTTTGAACCCAAAGCAAAAGCTGAATAATTCGGACTATTAAAGATCTTTATACTCACAGGGAATCTAGGCAGGGTGTTATTTTAAACATAATGACTTGTATGACTGCTTTTATATGTAGTAGTGTACTTGCATCTAGTCAGAGGAAAAATTATCTGAAAGTGTGAACTTTTTATTCAAACAAGCTAAACGCAGATACAACTGGATAGGTATAGTCGTGTTCTTCTGCACGGGCTCTTTTCTTGGACCACCAGGTGGTGCTGTTGGCTTTCAACATCACAGAAATCGTGGGGGGGGGGGTGTTGTTTGTTTTTTTTAGTCTTTTCAATATCCAACTCAGAATTAATGATACTGCAGAGATAGTCTCATCCACAGTTTTCTTTTTTTTCTCCCAGAATTTGAGAGTGGTGATTCTATGTGATTTGCCCTGAGTTACAGCTAGTTTTGATGAGACCTGAGATTGGAGTTAAACGAGCAGGGAAAGCAGGTTCTGCAGATTAAGAGGCTGTGGAAGAATTTTTAAATACCTAAGTGTTACATGAGAAAGAGGTTAGGTGGAAAAGCAGGTTTTCAAAGCTGATGAGACTGGCTTGTTTTACAAGATTTTGGCAAACAAACCTGTGTAACACGAATGACATTTCAGATGGGCAAAAATGTGACCAGAGACTCACAACAATCTAACCTTGTATTTCCCACAAAAGCAGTAGTTTAGTATTTGCTAATTCAATGTTGGCAGTGACTTTATAGAACATTACTGCAAAGGATAAGATTTGGCTATATATAGAAATAACAACAAAAAAGTGAAAAACTTACATTCTGAAAACTACAAAGTATTGTTGAAAGAAGTTAAAGAAGATCCAAATAGGGCACCTGGGTGGCTCAGTTGGTTAAGCGACTGCCTTTGGCTCAGGTCATGATCCTGGAGTCCCAGGATCAAGTCCTGAGTCCTGCGTCAGGCTCCCCTGCTAGGTAGGGAGTCTGCTTCTCCCTCTGACCCTCCGCCTTCTCATGCTCTTTCTCTTTCTCATTCTCTCTCTCTCAAGTAAATAAAATCCTAAAAAAAAGAAGAACCAAATAAATAGAAAAAAAATCTCATGTTCATGGATTTAAAGACTTGACATTGTTAAGATAGCAATACTTCCCAAATTGATCTACAAAGTCAGTACAATCTCTTTCAAAACCCCAGCTCCCTGTTTGGCAGAGATTGACAAGCAGATCCTAAAATTCATACAGAAATTCAAGGGATCCAAAATAACCAAAACAATTATGAAAAAGAAAACACAGTAGGAAGATTCACATGACCTGATTTTTTAAAAAAAGATTTTATTTATTTGAGAGAGAGAGAGAAAGAGCACAAGTGGGGGTGGGGCATGGGGTGAGGGCAGAGGAAGAAGCAGGCTCCCCGATGAGCAGGGAGCTCCATGGCCGGCTCCATCCCAGGACTCCAAGATCATAACCTGAGCCAAAGGCAGACGCTTAAGGAACCGAGCCACACAAGTGCCATCACATGACCTGATTTTAAGACTTACTCTACAGATACAGTAGTCAAGAGAGTGTGGTATTGGTGAAGGGATAGACACATAGATCAATAGAACACAACAGAGAACGCTGAAGTAGACCCACACAAATACAGCCAACTGATGGTTATCAAAAATACAAAGGCAATTGAACAAATAGTGCTGGACATATTGGATATCCGTGTGCAAAAAACCAATAAACTTTGACACATACCTGACATCTCGCCAAAAAAAATGTA